TTTTTTTCTTTCATGCATTTGTTTCTAACCCATATATAAGATTATTTCTTTGTTGCTTTGTGTGTCCCTCCCCCACAGTATAACCCCTGCTTTCACTGTATTTGATGTCAATATAATTTGTGGAGGGGGAGGGGAAAAACAAGTTTTTTATAAGGATACAGGTGGACCCGTTGCAACAATGAGAAGTACAAGTTGTCATGTCGAAAACGAACTTTACAACTTTGGTGGGGGGAGAGGAGGCTGGAAGGGATGGGAAGGGGAAACAAAGGAGGAGACTACAATCCTTGATAAGAAATGTACTCATTATCTTGCCCATGTAATTGTAACCCCTCTGTCCAGTATTTTCACAATAAAAAATAAATTAAAAAAAAAGAATTAAGTTTCAGAAATTTCGAATTAAGTAACTGATGTCTGAATTAAGTTTGTATGAAGGATAAGGTCCAATAATCAAAGATGGATATGTATCTTGGGAGGAACATATCCCCTGTTGTCACTGTACTTGATTTTGGTACCCTGCATCTTTTATATACATTTGTCTAATTAGGGGAGGGGAAGTGGAATCACAAAACGCTGAAACAAGGACACAGGATGACCCATTGCAACAACGGTACCCACAAGACACTATATTGGAAATGAACTTTACAACTTCGGGGGAGGGGAAGGATGGATCGTGGGAGAACAACAAGAGAGGGGGTAACAATGCTTGACAAACTCATGTAACTGTAAGCAAACATGTCATCTGAATATGCACTGTATGCTCAGCACAATCCTCTACCAGCTTGGACCTTGAATGTCCTCAAAGGCAATGTTCATAGGCCTGTGGCACTATTTCCAGGTAGTGGCATGTTTGTTCAGGAGATGAAGCCTAATGGGAGGTGGTTAGGTCATTGATTTGTCCCTTAGGGAGGTATTAGGGTCCTGGTCACTTTTTGTTTCTCTCTTTGCTTCCAAGTACCTGTGAGATAAATAAACCTCTTTGTTTGAACCAATCTTTGAACAAACCTCAAAGCAAAAGGACCAAGTCACCATGAACAAACACCTCAGGAGCTGTGAGCTAAAATAAGCCTTTTCTCTCTTTAAGTGGATTAGCTCAGATATTTTGTCTCAGTGACCGAAAGCTGACTATCCCAGGCCCTACTATTCATTCTTTGCTAGAATACGGTTGGAATCGGGATTCTAACTCATGTCCTTGCTCTCACCTTCGACTCATTTTGGTCTTCTGTACAATTAACTGAAGGTTTGAGGCTTACTTAATCTTGTCAGTATTCTGTTAAAAACAAAAAACTCCTTCCATTGTCTAAATTTCTTGTCACTTGCAGATTGTAATAATTTTACCTTATTCAAAATACCTAAACTTTTTGTCAGTCCTGGGTTCGAACAGGGTCTGGGCACTGTTCCTGAGCTTTTTCACCTCAAGGCTAGGAATGATCCACCACTTGAACCACAGTTCCACTTTGAATTTTCTTGTTAAGATTAGTTGGAGATAAGAGTCTCATGCACTTTCCTGCCTGGGCTGGCTTTGAACTGTTATCCTCAGATTTCAGACTTATGAGTAGCTAGCATTATAGACATGAGCCACCAGCCCTTGGATCCATCTCCTTCTTTTTTTTTTTTGTCAGTCATGGGGCTTGAACTCTAGGCCTGGACACTTTCCCTCCACTGCACTCTTCATCTCAAGGCTAGCGCCCTACCATTTGAGCCACAGTACCACTTCTGGCTTTTTGTTTATGTGGTGCTGAGGAATCAAACCCAGGGCCTCATGAATGTGAGGCAAGCGCTCTACCACTGAGCCACCTTCCCAGCCCTCCATTCTCCTTGTAGCAGCCCCCATGACATAGGTTATCAACTTGGGATTTATAAGAAGAGAATTATATTTTTGCCATCTCTGGCGATTGTTGAAAATGCTAGTCATTGTCTTTTCCTTTAAACATCTACTTAACGTTGTTAACATTGCTGAGCTTTGATGTTTTGCTGGTGTTATTTTTTCTGTATCACGTGCTTTCTCAGAAAAAAAGCATCTATAATTGAAAAGATGCATTTTACTAAGCTTTATTCCTGTCTTATTTCTAATGTAGTTCAGTAAAGTCTGAACATACTCAGCACAAATTCAAAGGAAAACCTCTGATTTTGTATCACCCATAGTATGGAGTCTCTGCCATCAATGGTAAGCAAAGCAGTACAAAGACACTCAAGATGACTTCTAAGAGCAATAAGTTACTGTAATCAAAGCTATTGATAGCTAAAATAAATCACTTTAGGGGCTAAGTAGAAAAAATGATCAAATCCTACCCTGAAATATGCATCATTGTTATATACTCACATATTTATTTAATTATGTACAACCACAACCAAATAGTAAATGTTTACTTTGTGGTTTCATATCAATTTCATATCAGTGTACCCCACTATTGCAAATCTATTGACCTCAAATGTTGATTTGAACTAATCATACCTCAATGTTTATAAATTAAAGTCAACATTTCTGAAAAAGCAAACTATAAACATATATTTACTAAACTAAGAAATTACCTATGGTGTGAGTAAAATATTATTTATTGAGGTTTATATTTCTTGTGGATTTCAATACAAATGTAATTAGATGCATAAACTGAAAATGATTATTTGCTTATATTTTTATTATGTCCAAATGAAAGTCTTTTATTAGACTGATAAGCTTAAAACTAGTTGAAAAGTCACAAAAGTCACTTTATTCTTTTTTTTTTTTGGGGTCCAGTCGTGGGGCCTGAACTCTGGGCCTGGGCGCTGTTGCTCAGCTCTTCAGCTCAACGCTAGCGCTCTACCACTTGAGCCACAGTGCCACTTCTGGCTTTTTTCTTTTTTTTATGTGGTGCTGAGGAATCGAACCCAGGGCCTCATGCATGCAAGGCAAGCGCTCTACCACTGAGCCACCTTCCCAGCCCCACTTTATTCTTTTTATAAAAGGATTTATACATTCAAATAATGTAAGAGGCTGGTCACCACTGGCTCACATCTATAATCCTAACCACTCAGGAGGCTGACTGAGATGTGAAGATCATGGTCCATAGCCAGCCTGAGCAGGAAAATCACTAAGACTATTAACTAATTAACCACCAAAAAAGCCAGAAGTGGATCTATGGCTTAAGAGATAGAGTACTAGCCTTGAGGAAAAAAAAAATCTCATGGACAGACTTAGGTCCTGAGTTCAAGCCCCAATACACACACACACACACACACACACACACACACACACACACACACACACACACACACACAGAGAGAGAAAAAATACTTTAAGGAGAACAGACCACAACTTTCTTACCTGTAGGATCTGTAAAAATTCTTTTAGTACTCTGTGGACGATTGGTAAGTTTTTCATGCTGTTGAAGAAAAGAAACAAAGATTAAGCAGAAGAAATCATTCACGATACAGAGAGATCTTCCACTCACCTTCACCCCTTTGGAAAAACTACTGAATTTTATACTTACAGAATTATAGCATATTTGTGCATGCTCAGCAATTATTTTCCTAAAACAATACAAATCATACCAACTCAATCCTCTAGCTAATTTAAATTTGAGAATACATATTCAGGAATTATTATTACACTCTCATGAACTCTGAACAATCCTTTTCCAATTAAAATTTAAAACTGTTCATGTCAGCTAACACAGAGCAAGCTATTTCTAGGCCAAAAGCATAGAGCTTTATCACTAATAAGGCAATAAAAATTAAAAAGGATCCTATAATGTAGTAGCTTTATTGTAGCCTCTAGTTATACCCTGGTGCTTTAGAGACACAAAAACTAATTCCTCCTATGTAACTGTACTTCAGTACCTATTATTGTGGGAAGGACACAGGAAGAGAGGTTATAACATACCCTGAAGTAAAATGAAATAGTCCAGGTCAGTTTTCAGCACTTAATGATTATGCCATAGAAGTCACCAACTTTTCCTTACTCACACAAGTTTTGGAAAAAGTAGTTCTCATTGTTGATTGCACAGGGGCTTTCTAATTTCAGAAAATTCCATGTCGTCTCCCAGTAGCCAGGACTTGGCTACTACCGAACATCTAGTCTCTGACAGTGCTCTAGTCTGCAAAAAGCTCAGTGTTGGGCAGGACCCAACCCTCATTGTTATATGTTTCCAGGAAGCTTAGGATGGTGCTGGCCCTAACTAAACGTATCATCTCTGTAGAATCACGTGGTGAGTGACAGCAAGAAGAAAAAACACTGGAGCAGACACAAGTGCCATTGTGGGTTGGCTTATCATGGTATGTTTCTGTTGTAAGAAGACATAATGAAATAGGATGGTATCTTTGAATCCTAGAGTAATATCCTATTTTAATCAGGTGGTCATTCATGTGAGAAAAGCCTCTTTTCTGTCAAAGTAGTTTGCTCCCTTTCTGATCATCCTGAGAAACTTTTCTGAAGGGTTCCTACTTTGGCCAAGTGACATGCCCCTGGTTAATTACAATTTACTTACATACATCTTTTTCCTGTGGCACTTTAATTATGACATCCTGTTAGAATTTTAACTATATCCTGTTACTTATGCCTCATCTTTTTGCAGATTGTCAACCTGAGCTCAGCCAATGTGAGCAGAGGGGTGGGGCCTGCAGGGTGAAGGATAACCAGGGGGCAGCCTGATTGCTCTGTGTGCTTGCTTGACAGATTTTTGGTCAATGGCACACCATTCTGCAGAAGTAAACTTCTCCTTGCCCAGTTCCTTTTGAGTTGTTGTCCTTAATCTTATGAGACCCCAACATCCACAGTTAATTCTAACACTAATTCCAAAGGCAACCAGAGTAATGCTATTCTTATTTAGTAGATACAGAAGTAATAAATGGTCAAGTTTGTCTTTTCATTTCTGTTGTTTTACAGTCTTGAAGTCTGCGACTGAAGAAACACTTTTTTGCTGTTGATGTTATGTAATACCCTAATACTTTAGCACCATTTAACATGGCTGCCTCATAAACAACAGTTTTATACAACCAGTAATAACACAAAAATGCTATGCATCTTAGTCATGTACCTCAGGGCACTTAAACATTTTCACAGGTAATTATTATAATATCTGTGGCAATAACTCCTTCATCCAGTCCTATCTCAGACTTCCTCCACCTCCACAAACATGCCACAGATTTTTTTCCTAGCAAGTAAGTAATTTATTTTGTAATTAGAAGTGAAAGTGGCATGATTAGCCATAAACTAAGAAAGCACATATAATTAGTTTTTTCTTTGTATTTTTAGCATGGATTTCCCTCCCCCCAGAAACAATGAAGAAATTCTATGTATCCTGGCTTTCTCTGCTCAGTCTTTTTTTTTTTTTAACATAGTGCTCTCTATTGAATGTACCATAACCATAAAATGTATTTTCAGTTTTATAATGCCTGGCTTGCATAGAACTGTGATTGATATTTGATACAACTGTATATCAATTAAAAATAAACTATCAGTCAAAGAGGTAATCTGATACAAAAATCAAGACTAACACAAATCATGCTGTAATTATGAGTGCAACATCACTATCAATAAAACAAGAGTGTATCTCAGTTCTGACTGAGATGTATGATGACATTCCTAATTTTCATTCCACAGTTGAAACTTCTTCAAGGTACAATAACTAGGACTAGGCAAAAATTGTGTTGAAGTAACTCATCTATTTAAAGTCCCAAACAAATAAGTAATATTGATTCCAAATAGCAATATCAGTTACTACATTTTTTATTAATTAATATATTGCCCTAAAAGAGTATAGGATATAACTTTGGCCATATATTATGTATATGTTCGCTAATTATTTTCCCAGATAAGGTTATTTTTATGCCTATTTTACAAATGAGAGAAGAAATTTAGAGAAATAAAATATTTTGACCAGAAACATACACTCTAAATGACAGATATAACATTTTTAACTACTATGTGTAACAGTTCAAATAACTTATTTCTAACTGCACTATATTCACTGTGTAAGTGTATGAATTCTCTGGACTTGGAGACAATATTAGATGGAGGGAAAGAAGTTACCTCCTGATCATGCCACTCATTCAACTATGATGATAAGCTAAATATTCCCTGGTTTTTAGTCCTCTCATTTAAAAGACAAACATCAGCTAGTAGGGTGGACCACACCTGTAATCCCAGCTACCCAGAAGCTGGGCACAATAGTACATGCTTGTCATCCAAACTCTGTGGGCAATATAAACATGAACATCTGATTCAGGTAAAAAGCAAGACCTTATTCAAAGAGTAACTAAAGCAACAGAGAAGGTGAAAATGGATGAGCCATCTTACATGCATAGCAATGAAAACAGGAACAATGAAACCTGTTAAAATAGTTTTAGAAGGGGTAGGTCAGAAAGGAGAGTGACATATAGGATGAATTTAGTTGTGATACATTGTATGGAAATGTCACAACAGTCCTTTGTACAACTAATGTATGCCAGCATTTTTTTTCTTTTTTTAAAGTGGGGCTTATGTGGTAGAGCATCTGTTTGTCAAGCCTGAGGCCATGAGTTCAAACCACAATATACTATCAAAAAGAAAAAAAAGAATAACAATATTTGCTTCTTGATTCCATTAAAAAAGAGGCACTGAATTATATAATAGAACTTAGAACAGGGCGTAGTTTAAATTTTCAATGTGTTCAAGGTATTATTTAATAGTTTTTCTTTAGAATTCCTACTTATTGCCTATAAAATACTGTTTCAAAAGAAACTTCATTTCTATAAATTTAAAGAAACATTAAAAACAACAAAAAAAACAGTGTTATTATTAAATTCTGTTGCCAGTCAAGATTCTAAACCATGGAGCAATTATCTATTTAAAAGGAGCTTTGTAAGTGTTAGAAAGATGTTAAAACCAACCTGAGATCTACTCACAAGATCAGACAAAGAATTAGAAAAGAGAAGAACTGCCTACCATGTGAATCTATTTTTATTTTAAACTCATATATGTATTGTCCTAAAAATTAAATTCAGCACCTAAAATTCTAAAATTCTGAATAAAGGGCTATAACTGAGCAACCTGTTCTGTTTACAGGAAGTGGCAACCTTCAGTGTGAACAAAGATAAAAAGTAATTTTATCTTCCAATACATCACAAAAAAAACTGAGTGCTATAGGCTCACACTGGTAACTCTAACTACACAGGAGGATCACAGTTCAAGGAAAGCCCAGACAGAATAATCTCTAGAACTCCATCTCTAATTTACCATCAAACAGCAAAGCTGGAGGCATGGCTCAAGTAGTAGAGCAGTAGCTGAGAACAACTAAACAAGCCTATTAAGTTAAAGGCCCTTGATTTTAAACACCAGTACCAGAAGAAAGAAACTTTTACATCGAATTTTAAGGACGTCTGAGTGATGTCATCATCAAAAAGCAATGGACTGGAACCCATAACTTAACCCAAAGAAAGTGGCTGCTGTCCTGATAAGGTGATGACTGTCATGAACATGAAGTAAAAACTGCAGTCACTGAACAGAACAGACACACATATTAGGTTATTCAGAAGCATCAAAGCATTCAGAACAGATGACTCGGGAAGCTTGTTTCTGATTCCGGTCCTGGCAAATGTTCCAAGTTAACAGGGAAGGCACCATTCAAGGTTTTATTCTGAATCTTTCTCATTTTTTTAAAAAAAGATATTCTTATTATCTTTAAGTAGTAGTTCAAAAGCATTGCCGTTCGCTGACACAGTTTCTGAATACAGTGCATCTGGATCGGTATCAGCACTTCAACATCTTCACACACCCACTCCCCGTCCCACCCCTTCCCTCATATTTTTCAATTCTGTGGTATGTACAATGAATGCTTGCCTGCATTGTCCTCCCTGCTCTGCTACACTCTTCTGTTCCTCTTCCCTTGATCCGATCCTCCTCTCTTGCAAGTACTCATTAACTAGTACTTCATTTGTTGGGCTTTGACTTAGACTTTTTAAAGAATATACTACTTGTACTCTCTCTCGAGTCCTTTACACTTCAGTTAATTTATTTGTAACCCCTTGCTTACTACCCAGTTTATTTTCTTGTAGATTTATAAGCACATTAACAGAAGCTCTAATCATCCTTCCCAACTGGCTCTTTGAGAAAAAAAATCTAGATTTGCCAAATATGTTGAAGGAGCAAAGGATCTGAAAGGCAACTTGACACAGTGGGAAAAAAATGGCAGGTAGATTGTGCCACAGGATTATAGTCTGTCAGGAGAATAGAAAGAAATGGAAACAATAAGACACAAAGGATTCTGTAGTAAAAAGACCTACCACTCTCTCTTTTGTGTCCTTTAGGAATAATGCAACTTAGCTCCTAGGACATGTCTGCCACCACGTCTCCCACTACATTTGAGCAGAGCCAGTGGGACAGCTCACCAGCCCATAGCTACAG